TTTCTCTAAGAAGTCCTGGTTTCCTCCCGTTGTGAATAATTAAAAATTCAGAAAATAAGAAATCAGAATTCAGAACTTAAGTCTGGTGTTAATCTGCTCCAGAGTGTCATTACTTTAGGCCCTGTCAAAGGACAGAGCTAGGAAATACATGCATGTGCATACCCACACACATGCACACACGTTAATGTCTGTTTCTGTACTATCCCTCGCTCTCCTTTCATCTACCTCTATTAAAAACTACATGTTCACACTGATACTTCCAAACTCAATCTGACATTTCCTATTTCATCTTCAATAGGGTTTATTCTAGACTTCCTCATTTCTGCACTTGAACTTCCTTTTCCAACACTTACAAATCCTGGCTCCCATCATCTTCACCATATTTATGTACTTGTTTAGGTCTCCTATGTATAACTAACGTCCCCACCATATTAGCCAAGTATCTCACCCTCCAGCCCTGCTACCATCAAACTGTGGTGTCTGTGGCTGTGTCAGAGAGAATATTTTATCTTTTGCAATAGCATTATAAAAGGAACCTTCCTTTCATAAATTCTAGCTGGTTTTTGTTTACATATTTGACCTCTGTTGATTTCTGTTTGTTAATTTTATATCCGGCAAACTTACATCATTCGTTTATTGTTTGAGTTAGTTTTTCTATTAATTATCGTGGGTCTTTTCCAGGTATACATCCTGAAAATAGAATCTGCAAACAGAGTGGGTTTTGTTCTCCCTTTACAGTTTTAGACCTCAAGTTTAATTTTCTTTTAAATATCACTTATCAATAAAATGCTAAATCATAATCCAGTAGTGGGCATTCTTACATTATTCATGACTTTAGTGGAATGATTTCCTGTTAAATGGTACCTATTGAACTGAAATGTGTGGTGTTCTATACATTTTTAAATTTTTATTTTGAAATAATTTTAGACATAGAATTGCAAAGAATTCTTGTATAATATATCCTTTATTCAATTTCCCTGTTATATACCCAAGATATTTATAAAAAATAAGAAATATAAGAAATTAACACTAGTTAGGTATGTTTCTTTAAAAAGTGGGTTAGGTAAATATCCATTTCTCCTGCTTTTGCGTCTCTTTTTGAAAACCTGGAATGAATGTTTAATTTGTCAAATGTATTCTCAGCATATGTTCTTACTCTTTTGACCTGCTAATATGATGGATTAAGTTAACAGATTTTCTAATATAAAACTATTCTTGCACCTTGGAAGAAATCCACTTGATTAAAAATAACGTGTATGATTATAAAAATTAACTCTTAAATTCTGTATGCTAATATTTGCTTAGACCACTGGTAGTTTTTTTACACTGATATTTTTAAACGTGATTGATCTGTCGTTTCTTTCTTAAAAGCAATCTTTATTGGGTTTTGGGGTAAAAATTTTTTTTTTTTAAGACAGAGTTTTGTTCTTGTTGCCCAGGCTGGAGGGCAATGGTTTGATCTCAGCTCATTGCGAACTCTGCCTCCCAGGTTCAAGTGGTTCTCCTGCCTCAGCCTCCCAAGCAGCTGGGATCATAGGCATGTGCCACGAGGCCCAGTAGTTTTGTATTTTCAGTATAGTCAGTTCTTCTCCATGTTGATCAGGCTGGTCTTGAACTGCTGACTGCAGGTGATCCACCCGCCTCTGCCTCCCAAAGTGCTGGGATTACAGGCATGAACCACTGCACCTGGCTGTAAATGTTATTCTTTAAAAAAATTAGAAAGTTTTCCTTCAGTGCTCTGGGATAATTTAAGTAGCAAAGATCACCTTGTCTTTAAGGTTTGGTGGAAGTCAGTGGGCCTTTCGTCTAATTTTTTTGGGGTGGGGAAGAGTAGGCATTGGACGGCCCTCTCTATTTCTTCTACGGAAACTGCTCTATTTAGACTTTTTGTCTGCATTTCTAACTGGGGCCAGTTTGGAGAAATTATTGTTTCTTCGAAAAGTATCCCTTCTTTTAGGTGTTACAATTTATTTCTATAGTTATGCAAAGTTTCCGCCTAAAAATTAAAATTTTCTGTTTTGATCATTATTGTCTTTATTTCTAATTTTGGGTATATGTTATTTTATTTTTTAAATTAGCTAGTGGTTTGTTTTTATTTAACAAGCTTTTGTATATTCGTTTACATTTGCTACTTCTGTTAACTCACGATGTTTCCCGTTTGATAATCTCCCCGACTTTACTTCTTTGTTCTGTTCCTAACTGCAAATTGCATGTACAATTTATTTTCATTCTTTCTTTTTTAGTCAGATTACTACTTGAGACAACAGATTTTCTTCTACTTGTTTTTATCCCATAGGTTCTAATTTTGATTAGCATTTTTTGAAACATAGTTGCTTGTTTTAAAACTTTCCGATAAATGGACCTTTATATTTTCTAATTTTGTTAAAATTTCAATTTTCTCTCTTATCTTTAGGTTTTGGATACTTGCTGTATTTTTGTTCCATTATTTGTCTGTATATAATTTTCTTAATCCTAGACAATACCCATTCACCACTTCTATGAGCAGCGATAGCTTGCATCCCTTCCCCTCTCCCCCACCATAGCTCTAGTCCATACCATTATCCTTCCTAAGACTTACCTTTGCACTGTTAAGTGTGCCTTTACCTCTGACTTGATGTGTCCCTTTTAAAGAGCATACTTTGACTCTTAACTGCTTCACAGGGAGCAGTCATGTGCCTGTTCTGCCTCCCATCAGGGTGGTTTTCCAACAACTCAGACTTGTTTCCTTCCAACATGGAATTTCTGTGGGTTTCTTCAGGCAGCCACAACCTTCTTTCTTTCCAAAGCAAACCGGGCTCAGGAGCCTTCTGTGCCTGTCCCGTATTCCCTGCCCCTACCCCTTCCTGTCCAGCAGCTGAGTTTTGCTGTCACTTTCTGAGCTCTGCGTGGTTGGATCCTCCTTAACACCTGCTTTTCCTTTTCTACCAACTCCTCTAACCTCAGCACTGTTTGATCTCAGTCCTGCTCTCAGATTTCTTCCCCAACATTTGCACTTCTCAGTGCGCTCCTGTTCTCCAGGGCACCTAATTTTGCAGGTCTCCCTGGGATCTGTCACTGCTGGGTCCGTTGGTCCCCAACGCCCTGCCCTGACCCAGCCATCCCTGACCCTTTCTGCATTCTTTCCTTGAGGCTCCATTCACTCTTTAGGCATCACATTTTGGAGTTTGTTTTTTCTCTCTTCTAGTGTCACTGATTATGGAGCCTCCAGTGTTTATTTCCCCTTCTTCACCTTGTCATTTCATGTGGTCTCCAGGTGAAGGAAATACACTATTGTAATTTAAACTTACCAACATAAACTTCCATTGACACAATAGTCGGGAGAAGGGGACCAGGCACAGTGGCTCAAGCCTGTAATTCTAGCACTTTGTGAGGCTGAGGTGGGGGGAATCACTTGAGGTCAGGAGTTTGAGCCTGGCCAACATGGTGAAACCCTGTCTTTACTAAAAATACAAAAATTAGTAGGGTGTGGTGGTGAGTGCCTGTAATCCCAGCCACTTGGGAGGTGGATGTTGCAGTGAGCTGAAATCTTGCCACTGCACTCCATCCTGGGTGACAGAATGAGACTATTTCAAGTAATAATAATCAGAGAAGGGAATTCTTTATCGTGTCCGTGATTTGTTCCCCCAACTACCTGGACAGAGTTAGCCGCACTCTTGGCAATGTTATACATGGCCACAGACAGCTCCCTTTGGCTTTTCTCAAGAGCAGTTCCAAACCATGATCTCACTGCTCTGTAGAGCCCCTACCATCAACCACTCTTAACAGAAAAAAAAAGAAGTCCACAGATGTGTGCTTCTCGAGGCCCCTTTTTCCTACTGTAGACATGTCTATGACACCAGTGTGGCCCCACCCTTGGTTCCCATCCTGGGGAGAGACGTCCTTTCTCTCCAAGATGACAGTCTCTTCCCCTAGGTACTATACTTATCCCTTCTACCAGTATGTAAACTTCCTCAATTATCTGTTCCTCTGGTGGCTCGTTTTACAAATAAAATTATTTCTTTCAACCTAAAACTAAATGAAACCAGATTAAAAAATCTGAAAACATTTCTGTGTCTCCAACCCCCTTTTAAGGTTCCTCCTTCTTCCTCCTTAACAGAACATGCACAGCCTCTGCTTCGGTGCCTTGCCATTCCCTCCGCCAGCCATTGCACCAGCCTTGCCTTCCACCATGCACAGAAACTGCTGTTCCTAAAAGAAAGTCAAAGCTGTCCCAATGACAAGATGCAATCACCTTCACCTTTAAATCCCATATAGCAGCACCCATTGTTTTGATGTCCGGAGTGGGCAATCTAGTTCTATTTGTCTGTTCTCTTCCATCCAAATGTTAAATTTCATGATTCCTCATTTTTTTTCATTTTTCCCTCACATGATATAATCTTTATCTTCTACTTCTGAGTCCAAATAACAGATAAAAGCGACCCAGTTTAGAAGTATTTTAGCAAAATGTTTCTACTCATTGCAATGCACAAAAATATTACATTAGGTCATTTATAATTCCTTTGAATGTAAATATATCTCAGTTTATGGCTTCTATGTGTGAAGGTCATTACAAACAAGTTTTACTGGGGAGAGTAATAGGAAAGCATTACTTATTTTTAAAAAGCTTTTACTGATTTGGTGTGGGAGCAAGTACATAGTTAATAGTTGGAATTTATGTGGTAGGCATGGAATATGTGTGGATTTATAGAAAATGTTTACATTTCTGCAGTAGAGTTCTGTGTTGGACAAACTGTTTTATCAATAATAAATTTGAATAAATGCAATACTACCTATGAAAGGCAAAGAATATAACGATATGAATTAATAAGGTTAGTTACTAACAGTACTGAGACAACAGGTACGAGAATTGGAACTATGTGTCTCAGAAAAAGCACTGGAGACTAAAATTTTTAGTAACTTTATTCTCTAAAACTGTATCCTACAAATATGTTTTCTTCGATATCTCCACTTCCTTTAAAAAAACAACAACAACAACAACAACAAATAGACAAAAGCTTATCTTGACCCAGGTTTTCAGTCAGCCGAATTCAGCTTTCAAAGAAGTAAGATCCACCAAAAGCAGCCGCGCGCTTGGCCTCTGCGCCGCGCTGGGTCTCCAGCAGCGCTGGATGACGTCCCCAAGGCGCTGTCCCGGGAGCGAGTCCGCAAAGACCGCAGCGGAGAGGGACGGGCGCAGGTCGTAGGCCACCACCGCGTACAGTATGTGCTGCCGCTCCCCTGAATAGGGCGCCTCCTTGGTAGTCATTTGCCAGAGAGTTATGGCAAAAGAATAAATGTCGGCTTTGGGGGTCACGCCCTCTCCTTTCAGGAGCTCCGGGGCGCGGTGGGTGTATGTGCCTCCTAGGGGGTAGAGGGGTGTCTGGAAGCACAGCAGCTCTTCCAGCTTCGCAGAGCAACCGAAGTCACTAATTTTACAGACATCCTGCTCACTGATCAAGATGTTCGCGGGCTTCAGGTCCAAGTGCACAATGCTTTGCGAGTGGAGGAAGAGCAGCCCGTTCAGGACATCTAGGGAGTACTTGAGACACTTTCCCAAACTTAACTCTCCTCCAGTGCGCAAGTGGGGCTCCCCTGCGTCTCCCTCAGGGTGGCCGGCGGCGCCGTAGATGACTTGGTGTAAAGTGACGTTGCCACCGAACTCCATGATGATGGTCCCTAGACTGTCGGAGCCCGCGGGCGTGCGCGTGCTGGCAGCCACCACGCGCACGATGTTGTCGTGGCTCAGTCTTGCCACGTTGAGCTCGGCCCAGAAACTCCGCCGGGATGCTAGTCGGTTCTTGCTGCACTTGTTCACTTGCTTTATGGCCACAGGAACACCGTGGTAAGTAGCCTTGTACACCGAGCCAAACCCTCCGGCTCCCAGCCTCTGCAGCAAGCACACCTGCTCCCAGTCAATGGAGCACCAGGCCAGCCGGCGGGGCAGCCGCGGGGCCCGAGGAGGAGTCGCCCCCAGAAGCAGCTTCGCAGGGAGCTCGGAGGGGCTGCTGCAGGGCCGCGCGTCCACCGACGAGGAAAACTCGCTCGGGAGGTAGGGGCGTAGGGCCAGGGGCGAGGGCATCGCACTTTCTAGGGGGACACCAGGGCCGCTGGGGTGAATGAAAAGACCAGAAAAAACCGCGGGACTTTGGAAGCTCCACCCCTAGCCTTTTTCTCCTTTTCCTTCATTTGCTCCAAATGAGCTACATCTGTGCTGTCACTCAGCAAGGGTTTTTATCAGATGGAGGGAGAAACCAGAATGAAGCATAGCAATCCCTTTCAGATGAAAGCATTTCCCTTCCACACTTGAAGTGAATTCTTGTAAAAACAAGCTCTCTCCAGATAAACAGCACAGAGCTGCCCCAGAACTCACCCCACTTTTACATTATTTCTTTAACTGTAATAAAACAAGTTTTTTTCAGGTCTCATCCGCTGCACATGATCAGTCCTCAGACCAAAGAGATCACAAAGCACAATGAAATTGTTTCACACTTCGCAGGCCGTAATGTTTGTCAGTGTTGTTCTCCAGCTGCATTAAATCACTTCCAGCAGTTATTGGCTGAGAGTTGAAATACAAACAGCAGACATTTGTTTAACCAATTACGGGGGAAAACTAGGTGCAACATTCATGTGGATAAAAAATTGCAGCCTTAATCAATCCAAACAGAATCGCTGATACAGGTCGTAACACACACCTGAATTCATCAGTGGAAAGGAGACTTCCCTGACGCTCTATGGGAGTACACAGCAAATTAGCAAGATGTCTTAGCAACATACTGACTTCCTAACAATCCTTCCCTTCCAAGGCGATTTGGCCCACCCGGTCAGCTTATTTGCAAGAGAGATTCTAGACTTTCTAGCAAATGAGTTACAGAAGTTTTAAAGCAGCATTAGGGGAGAAAAAAGAACAGAAATAATTCAGAACTGTGATCAGGGCTTCAAATAATAACACATATGGGAGAATTGTAGAAGAGGAAAAATCTGAAAGAAAAAAGTGGCATAAAATCACTGGTACCTACATATAATGTAGAAAACCGGAAGTTGAAATGAAATTCAGGGTTCTGGCCATCAATAAGTTCTTCCTTTCTGATTTTCATAATGAAAATTAATTTTCTACCAAGCACAGTGAGTCATGCCTGTAACCCCAGTGCTTTGGGAGGCTGGGGTGGAGGGACCACCTGAGGCCAGGAATTCAAGATCTGCCTCTACAAACAATTATAAAGTTAGCTGGGGGTAGTGGTGCACTCCTGTAGCCCTGGCTGCTTTGAAGGCTGGGGCATGAGGAGTTTGAGGTTGAAGTGAGCTATGATTGTGCCACTGCACACTAGCTTGGATGAGAGAGCAAGACCCTGACTCTAAGAAAAAAAAGTAATTTTCATACCATATCTTTAGAAAAAAGACCAAAAATATTACCCTATTCATGAGACACACACACACACACACACGTGTAGGGATCTATATTTTAAAAAATCAAATAGTAAAGTTCTCTTCTTCTAAAGCGCCTATGTGCTGGGTTATGTGTAACCACATTTTCATGATAGCAGTTGTATGTTTCTGAAGTATATTGACTTTGAGAAGGTACGTTAATAAACAGAAACCATTTACAGAAGCAATGTGAGGTCCGTGAAGCCCTGGAACAGGATTTCTAGTCTATACTACCGGTGTGGCTTAGTGTGTGATCTTGTCTGTGTATAATATTTAACCTGCGTAAGCCTCAATTTTTTTTTTTTTTTTTTTTTTTTTTTGAGACGGAGTGGAGTTTCACCCTTGTTGCCCAGACTGGAGTGCATTGGCAAGATCTCGGTTCACTGCAACTTCCACTCCCCAGGTTCAAGCGATTGTCCCTCCTCAGCCTCCGAGTAGCTGGGATTACAGGTGCCTGCCACGACACCCGGCTAATTTTTGTATTTTTAGTAGAGACAAATTTTCACCATGTTGGCCAGGCTGGTCTTGAACTCCTGACCTCAGGTGATCCACCAGCCTCAGCCTCCCTAAGTGTTAGGATTACAGGCGTGAGCTACCGCACCCGGCCAACTATGGAATATTTTAGTAGAAAGATTGTTGTGTGCAGCTGTACCAAAACCCAAATATAAAAGGATGGTCATCAATAGTGAAAATAAAGTCATACCATTTTATTCTATAGTAAATCTATGCTGCAAAATTTACTCAGTAACTGTCACACAGTTGGGATTATGATTCAGGACTCTGAAAGGATTATATAATAGGAGTACTGTGAATATCAGCAAAATAAGAAGGCCTTAACCCCCTAGATATTTTATATAATGCAAGATAATATGAATTATTATGTAATCTTTATTTTTAAGATAATTGCACAAACAATTCATTTTCAAAGTTGATTTTACTCTTTACACGAATCATAAGGTATTAGTGAAAATGTGGCATTCTGTGTATTTGTAAAACCCAAGCTCAGATTTTTCATCTGCCAATCTGCCTAAGAATATTTAACTGAATATCCAATTTACAATAGCCTTTGTTTCCTTTTTTAAGGTATCGTAAAATACTTCTTTTACTCTGCAAATTCCATGTATCCTGAAAGCAGGATCCATCTCCCTATTGATTGTTTCTCCCCTGTGAGTAACACAGTGCCAAGCACATTTCTTATGTTCTTACTTTAATTTTTTTTTTTTTTTTCTTTTTGAGACAGTGTCTCCCTATGTCACTGAGGCTGGAGTACAGTGGTGTGATCTCTGCTCACTGCAGCCTCCACCTCCTCGCCTCAAGCAATCCTCCCACCTCAGCCTCCAGGGTAGCTGGGACCACAGGCACGCACCACCACACCCAGCTAAATTTTGTATTTTTTTTGTAGAGATGGGGTTTCACCATGTTGTCCAGGCTGGTCTTGAACTCCTGACTTCAAGTGATCTGCACGCCTCAGCTTCCCAAAGTGCTAGGATTACACGGCACCGTGCTCAGCCCTTCAGTTTAATGTTTAATCCTGATTTGGTTACCACATATGTGTGCACTGTATAATATTCTGGATCTCGAAAATGGGTAAAGCTTTAGCACGGTGGTAAAAGGCTCTTAGAGGCCAGATGGCTGGGGTTTCTTACCATCTCAGTGCCTGTTTCCTTGTCAGCAAAACAAGGAAAATATGCCTACTTCAGGATTGTTGTGAAGAGTAACGGAGTTTCAAATACTTCGATTAGGGCCTCAGTGCTAATTATTAGTTATAAACCTCATTTAAAAAACCATGTGCATGGGCTTATATCAATAAGACGCAGATTTGTTAGATAGTATTGGTTTAGAAGTATCCCGTCAGGGCTGAAGTAACTCGTTTTCAAGTTAAACTAATGTAAAATGTGAGTATTTTTCTGTTCTTGGAATTTGAGGTTAAAGATATAAAAGCCTGCTGTATTACTGGTACAATATATAGTAAAAATGTGGGTGATCACTAATCTGATCAAATGCAATGAGCCTATGTCATCCCCAAACAAAGGGAAAGAGCAAAATGTGTTGATCACGGAAATCTACTTGGAATTACATAGAAACAAAGGAGAGACAATAAAGAGAAACTGCACCTCCTGAGGAGAGAACTGCTTTCGCGTTCTTAGCGCACAGGCTTTAAGTGTTTTGTTCTTTGATTGACAGCATGATTATTAAGATACTTCCGTATCAAACATCATATTTATCACAAGAGTAACAACAGATACCACAACGGATAGCTCATTTAATTCGACTTTAATCAGAGCCTGAGGATCGCGGCTCGTGGGAGAGCGTCCTCCAGACCAATGCAGTTGCGTTTCTAGGCACGCTGGACCTGAGCCTCCCCTGCTCCTGGGGCGCGCACCGACTTCTGCGGGTACCCGGGACTGCGGGGCGCTGCGGCCTCCTTGCCTCTTGCCCATGCTGCGCTGGGGCCGAGAAGGTGACTCTGCCTTTCTTGATTCCCCAGTCTCTAGAAGACAAGCCGCCCTCGCCGCCTCCTGGCTGCCTACGGCCTCGCCCGCTGGGGGTTTGTGCGTCTCCTCGCACGCGGGCTTTCGGCGCGCGGGTGCCCGGAAGCACGTGGGCGAGGTCGTCAGTCCCCGAAAGAAGCTCAGCGTGTGCCCAGCCTGCCCTTCTGCCTACAGAACACATTTTCATTTCAGTTAGGAGTCATCACGTCGTCTTTTGGAAGACAGTCTTAAAAGGCCGTGAAACTCCTGTAACAGGAGTCCCAACAGCACACAGAACTTCCCCGACGGCGGCCGCGCTAGGGCCTGCGCTCCGGTGACAGCCGCCAGAGTGCCGGCAGGGGACCGCACCGTTCAGCGTTCTCGGGTTACAGCGGATTCCACAGGTTGCAGTGCGAAGGAGCACGAGGATTGCAATAGTGCAAGTGTGGTTTTGCTGCTTTCAGCCATGAATTTCGTGCTCAAAATTTCACTCTTGCCTTTTTTAAGACTAAAAAGTTAAGTTGTAGATGAATACATACGCTTTACCAAAAATTCCCGTACAAAGATTATAGTCAAACCTGAAAAAATATCAAATTTTTTACTTTAGTGGAATTATACTATTGATATTATTCTTAAATTTGAATTTTATACTTAGCAATATAACATAGACTTGTTTCTATGTCAGTAAAGTACATATAGAGCTACTTTAATTTTTATATGGCCAATATAATATGGTCAGGGGCAGATTTAAGTTTGTGGGATTGCATGGAGCACGTTCCTGGATGCAACCAGCGCACGCTATCTGTTTCCATAGAGGGAGGTTGGGGCTGGTTGCTTCCATTTTGCCCTGAAGGCTTGGATTTTGTATTTCGACTCTAGAGATATGTAAATACATTTTTACTTGTCTGAGTACAGCTAAACTTCACAAAAGGTTTTAAGACATGCAAATGCATTTCAAACTAGTTTTGGAAGCCTTTGAATTTAATGATATCTTGTACTTTTCTTATTTCTTAAGAACATAAAATGCCTATAGATATTTGAAAATGTATCTGATTGAAATTCGGCTGTCTTGAATGATTTGTCCAACTTAAAATCATATACGGGCATCCTCCCTCAAGCCAGACTGCTTGCTTGTTTTGCTTGTGTGTTTTTGTTTGTTTTTTGTTTTGTTTTGTTTTGTTTTTGACAGCGTCTCTCACTCTGTCTCCCAGGCTGGGGTAGAGTGGCACGATCACAGTTCACTACAGCCTACAGCTCCCTGTGTTCAAGCTTTCCTCCCACCTCCGCCTCCCAAAGTGCTGAGATTACAGGTGTGAGCTGCCAGCCCTGGTTTCAGAAAATGCTTACTAACTATGTATTTGATATTTACTAAATTCTGTATTTTTCACAGATAAATGTGTCAAAATAATAGGATGTTTGAATAAAGGATCCAAAAGTAATATACTCTATTCGATTCACCATCTTTACTCAATTTTAAGCAAAAATTTCTTGTGTGTATCACTATGGACTCGTGGCCTCTCATAGATTCAATGTGATTTAATCAACTGCAATAATTATTAGTTTTGCTGCTCAAATTGACACACTTTGGCCAGTGGGGGGCCCTGTTGTGTTCTTTTGATGAAGTCCCATTAATCTGAATTACTTCTTGCCTCTTGGTACATAGAGCAAGTTGCCTCAGGCTCGTAATGACTCCTGGAATCAGCCATTTCTCCAGGGTATCCTGGAAAGATGCCATAATCTTAGCAGTAAGTTAGGTTCATTTCTTAAGCCCTTGTTACTGTTCATTTTAGCTGACAGAATTCGAAAACATATACTTTTTTTTCTTTTAAAAAGCGTGGGTTCCTATTGATATTTCTAATTCAGTTCTGACAGTATGATTATCAATTAAAGCATTTCAATTTTATTATTTTCCTCATTTTTCCTTATACTAGAAAGCTTGATTCCAAACAAAATTAATCGAATTATTAATTTATCTGATAAAATTATTAGATAAAATCTAAGATTCCTTTGCAGTTATTTTTTTCCTTATACTGTATACCACTAAGATGTGTAATCAAGTTATTTTCTCGTGGAGTCACTCCTCATAGCTCATTCTGTGAGGCTTTGTTCTATATAAATCATGTATGATTAATTTGTTTTCAGTTCTGGGAGGTTGTCAGTGTAACTAGCTGGCAGTTTTCCTAGAAGGTGGCAGTTTTCAGCCAAGGGGTTTTTTCCTTTTGTAAGGTAATAAACCTTTGGGTATGGTAGAAAACTGTTCTCAGAGTCTACCTTATGAGACGATGGGCAAAGGGAAAATCAAGCAAATGAAGTTCCCCAGTTTTGTATGAAAATTTCATTTAACCATCATCTGATCCTTATGTAGTGACCAAGTGCAACATTACATGCAGAATGTTCGTATGCACAAGTGCTGGACGGCACCCCATTCTATCTTCTACTATCCAATTTCCGGCAATATTAGAAAGCACATAGCTTCACATATTTCATTACAATTTAGTAAATAGTCATGATGTTAAAGCCTTTAAAATTTATTCTCTCTCTTCTTTGAGCTTCCTTTTTAAATATAAAACATTTTCCTACCAACGTAATATTATTACATTATACCAAAGTTTACAGTACATAAATCCAAGTGATTCTCTTTTTTTTCTTTTTTTTTTCTTGAGACGGAGTCCCACTGTGTCACCCAGGCTGGAGTAGAGTGGCACGATCTTGGCTCACTGCAACTTCCACCTCCCGAGTTCAAGCAATTCTTCTGCCTCAGCCTCTCGAGTAGCAGGGATTACAGGCATGCACCACCACACCCGGCTAATTTCTGTATTTTCAGTAGAGATAGGTTTTATCGTGTTGGTCAGGCTGGTCTCAAACTCTTGACCTCAGGTGATTTGCCCACTTCGGCCTCCCAAAGTGCTGGGATTACAGGTGTGAGCCACCACACCTGGCCCTGGGTGATTCTTTAAGTTGATTTTATCATAATCTAGTCCCTAAATCTTTAAATTTCCTCTTACTCTAGTTTCTGTTTATGTATATAGAATGCACCTTCTTAATGCCTCTTAGTTGACCAAAGTTGTTTCTTGAAATACAAACAATTTTTTTCTCACCTGGCCTTCTGCAGTCTAGACATACTTATCTGAAAATAGACTTAACTTCATTTCCAGCCATTCTAAAATATTCAAATATTCTGCCTTTCTTTTCTTTCTTCCTTCCTTCCTTTCCTTCTTTCTTTATTTTTGAGATGGAGTCTTGCTCTGTCACTCAGGCTGGAGTGCAGTGGCTTGATCTCGGCTCATTGCAACCCCTGCCTCTCCGGTTCAAGCGATTCTTCTGCCTCAGCCTCCTGAGTAGCTGGGATTACAAGTGTATACCATCATGCCTGGCTAAATTTTGTATTTTTAGCAGTGGCGGGGTTTCACCATGTTGGCCAAGCTGGTGTCAAACTCCTGAACTCGTGATCCGCCCACCTCAGCCTCGCAAAGTGCTGGGATTACAGGTGTGAGCCACTGCGTTCTGCCTTTTCTTTCTTTTCTTTTTTTTTTAGATGGAATTTCACTCTTGTTGCCTAGGATGTAGGGTAATGGCATGATCTTGGCTCACTACAACCTCTGCCTCCTAGATTCAAGTGATTCTCCTGCCTCAGCCTCCAAGTAGCTGGGATTACAAGCATGCACCGCCATGCTCGGCTAATTTTGTATTTTTAGTAGAGGTGGAGCATCACCATGTTGATCAGGCTGGTCTTGAACTCCTGACCTCAAGTGATTCAACTACCTCAGCCTCCCAAAGTACTAGGATTATAGGCGTGAGCCACGAGGCCCAGCCATATTCTGCTTTCCTAGACAGAAAATATTCTGATTGTTTCTAGGGTGTCCCATCTTAATGGCTTGAGAATTGCAGTACTTAATGCTTTGAGACTAAATTTTTCTTTGTTCTTTTTTATTTTTTAAAACTTGACAATACAACATGGCAGGTACCAACTGCCTGATGGGTGTGAGGAAAGGTGACTGCCAGCACACTTTCTAAAACCCCAGGCAGGGCATGTTTCTAATCTGGGCAGCGATTACCCCCACCAGTGAATCAAGACCAGCAGATTCTCTGCAAGTGCCCTAGCACACCTGGACACTCAGAATATGAGCCAAGTCTTCGCGAGGCTGAGTTTTATATGAGATTAAGAGGGTACTTTATAGCAAAGCTCCAGGCATCTCCAGTTGGCATCTTTGAAAGTAGAACATCAGGACACTGTTGGAACTCCACTCAAGGCAATTTTAAGTGACTCTGGGGACAGAGGAGGAGGAGGAAGTCAAACAGTCAGTCTTTAGCTGTTGTGGGATGGGGGGCGGGGTATGTCTTAGTGGGTCACGCTTGGAGAGGAAATTGACAGGACTTCTCAGTGGTTCTCTCAACATCTTTAGTGAGGTTTCACCTACCTTCTTGGCAACTTGTGTCAGAACTAATCTTTCCACGTGTACATGAAACAATCTAGTTGGCAACAATCTAATGACTTTCCTGGTCCTCCTTTAGATGTTTCAGGATATCATAGTTCCAGGATCCTTAATGGGGAAATTTAAATTTGGGCTCACTCCCAGTGTACCTATTGCCCATTTAAAAGACCATGCACTGTAATGATCCATTATAAACTAAGGAGGGCTGCAAATGCCCTGCTGACATTTAGACATGGTGGTGCCCATGGCTAGTCAATCTGACCTAGGGAGGAAAGCAGGATATCCTCTTACTGGATGTTATAGGAAAGATATAAGGGATGGGTTTGTGAAACCAAGGCTAGAAAAAAGATTTAATTTTTGATACCTACCCAAGAACCGAGGACCCTGAACTAGAGTTGAGTCTAAACATGGTAACCCAGGATGGCAAAGGCAGGTGGGGAGGTGAAAACCACAGGAAGACGAGAAGCTCACCAAAGACAGGAGGCTAGTCCGCAGCCTCCTTTGCTGAGCTTAGGTTCCCCACTGCTCCAAATCCTTGTGGAAATGAGGATGATTGTTTCAAACTTTAAATCAAGACTCTGTCACGTCCTACTAATCTGTACACAGGAAGAGGAAATAGAGAAGCACGCACACAGCAGTGGCTCAACTCCCCAGCCTTCTTAGAGTCTTCAAGGTTTGTCTGCTCTGTTGATATCTTTGTGTGTGTATGTAACAAATATGAGAAATTAATTTAACAACGTTCACAACCCGTTTACAGAGTAACCCAGAACATATCTGAGAATTGCTTTTCTCTGTGTGCGGGGGGAACCCTGGGAAGCAGTGAAGTGTGTGGGGAAGGGCACCTGCCTCAAGCGGGGCTGTGGTGCTTCTGGGAGGGTAGACTGGGACAATCATCATGTGAAATCCTTGCTCTTCTGCTCAGGAGACCAGTGGATACTTACTAAATATTTCCCTGTTACTCACAGAAACAATTGCTCTAGGCTTTTGTATTTATTAGCTCACCACAGTGTAATTCTTAACTAACCGTGGAACAATCAGCAGGAGGCTGACTTGAGGTTTATATATCCCAATTATCATTGACACTTTATTTTCAGAAAAAGTGAGTTGCCAATTACCAAAACAGAATGGCTCAGTCACTTCCACCATTGAGTATGGACAGAGCTCTGGGATATTGACTATGTCCTACTATAACCAGATGTTATAATAACTTGAGTCCATATGGGTCCTCACATTCAGCCCAACCCAAGCATGGTGGGGAAAGGGGTGTACAACAGTGTGCCCCAGGTGGCCCCACAGGAGATAGCAGACATTGCGGCTTGTGTCATTTTTCCACCAACAGGATCAATGTTGAGTTCGTGCGTTTAGCATCCTCGATAATCCAGGTGGAGTAGGATTGCGACTCCAGATTTTAACAGCAGCCAGTGTCAGAAGAGGGAGGGGCAGGGAAACACTAGAAGAAATAGAAGAAATGAGTCACCATTTTGAATGACTTGGGTTTTAGGTTGCATTGTTTCTTGTTAATTCTGTTTCCTGTGCTGCTTTTTTTTTTTTTTTTGAGACGCAGTTTCGCTCTTGCTACCCAGGCTGGAGTGCAATGGCCCGATCTCGGCTCACTGCAACCTCCGCCTCCTGGGTTCAGGCAATTCTCCTGCCTCAGCCTCCTGAGTAGCTGGGATTACAGGCACGCGCCACCATGCCCAGCTAATTTTTTGTATTTTTAGTAGAGACGGGGTTTCACAATGGTGACCAGGATGGTCTCGATCTCTTGACCTTGTGATCCACCTGCCTCGGCCTCCCAAAGTGCTGGGATTGCAGGCGTGAGCCACCGCACCCGGCCTGTTTCCTGTGCTTCTAACTTACATTTCTCGATTCCTTGGTTGGTTTTATTTACTTAACCCACACCTTGTCTTCCATGTTCCTAGTCTCCCTAATCAATATATTACCAATGTCATGGGTAATTATAATATTTAGCTCTAGTTTAGGCCATCGGTTTAAATTCCATTGCACTTCATTATGACATCAAGCTGGGAAGCAGATGCATCGAAATACTATTGCCAGTGGTTAACAGGGAGAGAGGACTGTATTAGCCAGATTCCTTAGAGAGCTCATGAAAACTGGGGGTTATTAATGATAATTTTTCACTTTAGAAACAAAATCAGGCATAGCATTGACAGAACAGGAGCAGGAGCATTCAATTTACTACAGCCCACAGTTAACCACTGTATTAGTTAGGGTTCTTAGGTTCCAAGAAGTAGACCCCAACTTAAGCAAATACATTTATTGGAAAGATTTTGCAGGATTCCAGACCCAATGGGAACCTTAAGAACCATGCTCCAAAGGAGGCTAGAAGTTAGTTCCTAGAGAACGAGGAAGCAGGAGCCACTGTAACGGCCACGTTTGAAAGCTAGAGCTAGAGTACCACCACTGGATTGATTCCTCAGCCATTCCTTTAGTCTGCAAATGAAGCAACCCACAGGCCAGTTTTGTTCATTTTCTGGCTTCCTGGCTGTACCAGTATACTGATAGATAGAACACGACCATTTTGCCTCCTTAGTTGGGAGGCAGGCACTAGATATACTATTTCAACCAGACCATGAACATTTGGAGGGAAGTAATTTCTCTAAATGTGTAGCCAAAGGCAACAAACGTCCTATGAGTTTACCAGCGGACCCACCTTTGGCAAAGACCAGAGCAGTAGATGGGAGTGGAGGTTTAAGCTACCCCAGAGTGCCTAATTCCTGCATTCAGCTGTGATGGCGCTCAGTCCTCTAAGTCGCCCAGGCTATTTCATGCTCACTGTTTAAGTTACAATAAAGGATTCTGGCTGGGCACCGTGGTTCATGTCTGTAATCGCAAAACTTTGGGAGGCTGAGGTGGTAGGATCACTTGAGTCCTGGAGTTTGAGACCAGCCTGGGCAACAAACTAAAACTTAAAAACAGAAACTAGCCCAGCATGGTGGCACACACCTGTAGTCCCAGTTACTGAGGAGACTGAGGCAGGAGGGTTGCTTGAGCCCAAGAGTTCGAGGCTGCAGTGAGCTGAGATCTTGCCTCTGCACTCCAACCTGGGTGACAAAGTGAGACCCTGTTTCAAGAAAAAGAAGAATAGAGGATTTCAAAGACTCTAATTTTGAATAACCCAGTTACAGTCTCTCCCAAAATGTACTCTCCACCCACTCAAGGATATTTTTCCCCCCTCAGGATTATAATAAATCAGTTTTTACACCATTCTTGGGAAGGAGAGAGTGACCCTGTGATGACAGGTGATGCACCAGGCCTGTGTGGGGTGCTTGGAGTGTCAACTTGCACACTCAGGGCTCCCTAAGTTCCAGTGGCTATGCAGGTTCTTTTCCCTTCCTGGGGTCTCCAGGCCTGGCTGATCATCATATTCTCTTTCTCTTGGTTATCATGATTGGTGCAGTGTGCCTCAGTTGCAGGAATTTTCTACAGCAATGAAGAAGCAGCACCTTCAGTAGTATGCTTATCTGATAATAAAGTGAATGTGAAATAAGGCAGAACAAACAATATTTGAACTCTTAGGACTAATTCTGCATAACGTTAGAGCTCTTTATGGACACATCAGTTCTGTGATCCAGGAAATAACTTGTCTTTGGAGAAATAATGAGTGTGGGGAAGTCCTGATAGGGATTAAGATAGAGTTGCCCCATAGGTTGATTAGGTAGGAATCCCCTGCTCACCGCCATCTCCCTTCCTCACCTAGCTCTTGTCACCCAGCAGCAATTATTTTCAAAGTTTTGAGCTGGATGTTTGAGTATTTAACTTTGGTTTTCGCATACCCTTTTGTAGCTGTCCTATTCCAAAGTGGATGGCTGTCCTGCCTACTACTTAGTTACCATCTTGGGTTTTCCCTTTACTTTTTAAAAATTTTGTTTCATTAATTTTTTTTTTGAGATGGAGTCTCGCTCTGTCACCCAGCCTGGAGTGCAGTGGCACGATCTTGGCTCACTGCAACCTCTGACTCCTAGGTTCAAGTAATTCTCCCACTTCAGCCTCCCAAGTAGCTGGGATTACAGATGCACGTCACAACGCCCAGCTAGTTTTTGTATATTTAGTAGAGATGGGGTTTCACCATGTTGGCCAGGCTGTGCTCGAACTTCTGACCTCAAGTGACCTGCCCACTTGGGCCTCCCAAAGTTCTGGGATTACAGGCATGAGTCACTGTGCTCTGCCTCCCTTTACCTAGAATTCCTAGAATTTTCTTAGTTTGGATTCACTTTTTCCTAAATCCTATGCCTTCCTTTCATCTGATTGTATGTATGTATGTATGTATGTATGCATGCATGTATGTATGTATGCATGTATGCATGTATGTATGCATGCATGTATGTATGCATGTATGTATGTATGTATGTATGCATGTATGTATGTATGTATGACAGGATCTCACTCTGTTACTCAGGGTGGAATGTAGTTGTGTGAACTTGGCTAACTGCCGCCTCAACCTCCCAGGCTAAAGTGATTCTCCCACCTCAGCCTCCTGAGTAGCTGGGACTACATGCTCATGCCATCACATCCAGCTAATTTTTGTATTTTTTGTAGATATGGGTCTCACTATGTTGCCCGGGCTGATATCAAACTCTTGAGCTCAAGCTGTCTGCTCACCTCAGCTTCCCAAAGTACTGAGATTACAGGCCATGAGCCAGCATGCCCAGCCTATTTTCTTATTTTGGTGAAACACATCCTTCAGTATTTCACCAAAATAAGAATACATGGGAGATCATATATGGGAGATCTATACCTGAAATAGAATAGATGGGCGGTCATTTGTTTCAGTCCATACGTGTCTGATACTTTACTCTGACATTTGATTAACAGTTTATCTAGTCCAAATTGTATATTGAAATTAACTTTCTCTCACAATTTTGAGAACGTCTGTAGAGAATTCTAACGCTTTCCTCGTGGTACTCTGCACTTAACTAATTTTTTCTTTATGGAAGTTTTTAGGATATTCTCTGAACTAGATATCTATTGTGGCAAAACAAATTATCCCTAAACTTAGTGGGCTTGACTTAACATTTCTTATTTCATTGTTTCCATTTGGCCAGGAATCTAGGTGCAATTTTGGGCCCTCTGGCTCAGGGACTCTCAAAACACTGCAATCAGGGTTTCCACTGGGGCTGCAGTAAGGTTTGTTATAATTAATATAATTTTCTTCTGCTTTTGCAGACTTCTCATCAAGCTGGAGATAATGAAATATATTTAAACTGCTGAGACAGATAAAATAAGCATAGACTTACCATTCTTTGTCTAGCAAAAGTATTGTTTAGAAATGAAGATGAAAGACTTTTTCAGGCAAATGGAAGCTGAGAGAATTTGTCGCCTATACCATCAACAATGCAAAAAGAGAAATGATACCAGTTAGAAACCTGGACACATAAAGAGCAATTAAGAATATTGGAAATGGCCGGGCGCGGTGGCTCACGCCTGTAATCCCAGCACTTTGGGAGGCCGAGGCGGGTGGATCACGAGGTCAAGAGATCGAGACCATCGTGGTCAACATGGTGAAACACCGTCTCCACTAAATATACAATAATTAGCTGGGCGCAGTGGCTCACGCCTGTAATCCCAGCACTTTGGGAGGCTGAGGCGGGTGGATCACGAGGTCAAGAGATCGAGACCATCCTGATCAACACGGTGAAACCCCGTCTCCACTAAATTTACAATAATTAGCTGGGCACGGTGGCGTGTGCCTGTAATCCCAGCTACTCAGGAGGCTGAGGCAGGAGGATTGCCTGAACCCAGGAGGCGGAGGTTGTGGTGAGCTGGGATCACGCCATTGCACTCCAGCCTGGGTAACAAGAGCGAAGCTCCGTCTCAAAAAAAAAAAAAAAAAAAGAATATTGGAAACGGTAAACATAGGCTAAAGTAAAAGATTCTTTTTATTTTTCAATTGTCTCTAGAAGACAAGTGATATTTAACATCGTAGTAGCAGTGGTAGTAGTAATAATGCATTTTTGGTTTTAGAGCACATGTAGAAAGCATGATGACAATGGCATGAAGGAAAGGAAGGAAATGGAAGCCTGTGGTTTTAGAGCACATGTAGAAAGCATGATGACAATGGCACGAAGGAAAGGAAGGAAATGGAAGCCTGTGGTTTTAGAGCACATGTAGAAAGCATGATGACAATGGCACGAAGGAAAGGAAGGAAATGGAAGCCTGTGGTTTTAGAGCACATGTAGAAAGCATGATGACAATGGCACGAAGGAAAGGAAGGAAATGGAAGCCTGTGGTTTTAGAGCACATGTAGAAAGCATGATGACAATGGCACGAAGGAAAGGAAGGAAATGGAAGCCTGTGGTTTTAGAGCACATGTAGAAAGCATGATGACAATGGCACGAAGGAAAGGAAGGAAATGGAAGCCTGTGGTTTTAGAGCACATGTAGAAAGCATGATGACAATGGCACGAAGGAAAGGAAGGAAATGGAAGCC